GAGATCTACAAAGAGTCTTAGACTCCCACACAATAATAGTGGGAGACTTCAACACTCCACTGGGCAGTATTAGATCACTGAGGCAGAAAATTAACAAAGATATTCAGTACCTGAACTCAATATGGGACCAAATGGATCTGATAGACCTCTACAGAACTCTCCACCCAAAAACAACAGAATGTACATTTTTCTCATTACCACATGGTACATGTTCTAAAATCAATCAGACAATCCTCAGCAAATGTAAAAGAACTGAAGTCATGCCAAACATACTCCTGGACCACAGTGCAATAAAGATAGAAATCAAGACTAAAAAAAATCAATCAAAACCATGCAATTACATGGAAATTAGACAACCTGCTCCTGAATGACTTTTGGGCAAATAATGAAATTAAGGCAGAAATCAAGAAGGTTTTTAATATGAATGAGAACAAAGATACAACCTACAAAATCTCTGGGACACAGCTAAGGCAGTGTTAAGAAGGAAATTTATAGCACTAAACACCCATATCAAAAAGTTAGAGATATCCCAAATTAATAACCTGATATCACCACTAAAATAACTAGAGAAGAGAGAGCAAACCAACCCCAAGGCTGACAGAAAACAAGAAATAGCCAAAATCAGAGCTGAACTGAAAGTGATTGAGACACAAAAACACCATCCAAAAGATGAATGAAACCAGGAGTTGATTTTTTGAAAAAATTAGTAAGATAAATAGACTGCTAACTAGACAAATACAGAAGAAAAGAGAGAAGATCCAAATAAACACAATTAGAAATGACAAAGGGGGTGGTGCCACTGACCCCACAGAAATACAACCATCAGAGACTACTATGAACACCTCTTTACACACATACTAGAAAACCTAGAAGAGATGGATAAATTCCTGTATGCATAACCCCTCCCAAGACTGAACCAGGAAGACATGGATTCCCTGAATAGACCAATACGGAATCTGTAATAAATAGCCCACAAACCCCCCCGCAAAAAAAAAAAAAAAAAAAAAAAGGCCAGGACCAGATGGATTCACAGCCAAATCCTACCAGATGTACAGAGAAGAGCTGGTATTATTTATACTGAAAGTAGTGGTACAAAAAACTGAAGAGGAAGGACTGAAAGTATTACAAAAAAATGAGGAGGAAGGACTCCTCCCCAACCCATTCTATGAGGCCAGCATCATTCTGATACCAAAATGTAGCAGAGACACAAGAAAAAAACAAAACATCAGGCCAATATCCTTGATGAAAATTGATGCAAAAATCCTCAACAAAATACTTGCAAACCAAATCCAGCAGCACATCTAAAAGCTAATCCACTATGATCATCCCTGGGATGCAAGGTCAGTTCAACATATGCAAATCAGTCAATGTGATTCATCACATAAACAGAACTAAAGACAAAAATCACATGATTATCTCAATAGATGCAGAAAAAGGCTTTTGATAAAATTCAACATCCCTTCATGTTAAAAACTCAATAAACTAGGTATTACAGGAATATACCTCAAAATAATAAGAACCATCTAGGAGAAACCCACAGCCCAGCATCATACTGAAAGGGCAAAAACTGGAAGCATTCCCCTTGAAAACGGGCACAAGACAAGGATGCCCTCTCTCACCACTCCTATTCACATAGTCTTGGAAGTCTTGACCACAGAAATCAGGCAAGAGAAAGAAATAAAGGGCACCCAAATAGGAAGAGAGGAGGTCAAACTATCCCTGTTTGCAGACATGATTCTATATCTAGAAAACCCCATAGTCTTGGCCCAAAGGCTGCTTAAGGTAATAAGTAACTTCAGCAGAGTTTCAGGATACAAAATCAATGAACAGGAATAACTAGCATTCCTATACACTAACACAGCCAAACCAAGAGCCAAACGAGGAACACAATCCCATTTACAATTGCCACAAAAAACATAATAAAATACCTAGGAATACAGCTAATCAGGGAGATTAAAGACCTCTACAATGAGAATTACAAAACACTGCCCAAATAAAGCAGAGATGACACAAACAAATGGAAAAACATTCCGTGCTCATGGATAGGAAGAATCAATATCATTAAAATGGTCATACTGCTCAAAGCAATTTATAGATTCAGTGTTATTCCTAACAAACTACCAGTGAAATTCATCACAAAACAGAAAAAGCTATTTTAAAATTCATATGGAACCAAAAAAGAGCCTGAGTAGCCAAGGCAATGCTAAGCAAAAAGAACAAAGCTGGAGGCATCATATTACCTGATTTCAAAGTATACTACAGAACTACAGTAACAAAATAACATGGTACTGGTACAGAAACAGACACATAGACCAATGGGACAGAATAGAGAGCCCAGAAATAAGGGCGCATGCCTACAACCATTTGATCTTTGACAAAGCTGACAAAAACAAGCAATGGGGAAAGGACTGCCTATTCAATAAATGGTGGTGGGATAACTGGCTAGCCATATGTAGAAGATTAAAACTGGATCCCTTCCTTACATCATATACAAAAATCAACTAAAGATCATTTAAAGACTTAAATGTAAAACCCAAAACTATAAAAACTCTGAAAGACAACTGAGGCAATACCATTCTGGATATAGATACTGGCAAAGATTTCATGACAAAGATGCCAAAAGCAATCATAACAAAAACAGAACTTGACAAATGTGAATATAATTATACTAAAGAGCTTTTGTACAGCAAAGTAAACTATCAATAGAATAAACAGACAACCTACAGAAAGGGAGAAAATTTTTGTAAACTATGCATCTGATAAAGGCCTAATATCCAGCACCTACAAGAAACTTAAATTTACAAGAAAAAACAAACATAAAAAGTGGGCAAAGGACATGAACAGACAATTTGCGAAGGAAGACATACATATGGCCAACAGTCATATGAAAAACAGCTCAACATCATTGATCGTTAGTGAAATGCAAGTCAAAACCACAATGAAACACCATCTAACACCAGTCAGAATGGCTGCTATTAAAAAGGCAAAAAATAACAGATGCTGGCGATATTGGGGAGAAAAAAACACTTGTAGACTGTTGGTGGGAGTGTAAATTAGTTCAGTCATTGTGGTACGCAGTGTGGTGATTCCTCAAAGACCTAAAAACAGAAATACCATCCGACCCAGCGATCCCATTACTGGGTATATATCCAAAGGAATATAAGTCATTCTGTTATAAAGACACATGCATGTGTATGTATATTGCAGCACTATTCACAATAGAAAAGACATGGAATCAACCTAAATATCCACCAGTGATAGAGTGGATAAAGAAAATATAGTACATATACACCATGGAATACTATGCAGCCATAAAAAGAAAGAGATTGTGTCCTTTGCAGGGACATGAATGGAACTGGAGGCCATTATCCTTAGCCACAGGAACAGAAAACCAAATATTGTTATGTTCTCACTTATAAGTGAGAGCTAAATGATGAGAACACATGGACACGTAGAGGGGAGCAACACACACTGGGGCCTCTCAGAGGAGGGAGAGGATCAGGAAGACAACTAATGGGTACTAGGCTTAATACCTGAGTAATGAAACAACCTGTACAACAAACCCCCTTGTTACATGCTTACCTATGTAACAAACCTGCACTTATACCACTAAACTTAAAAAATAAATAAATAAAATGAAAAAAATCACAGCTAGTGAAGTAGTGAGGCTAGGGCTCGTTTCTATAGTAGTATTCAGACTTGAATCCAGATTCTATTTTACTGTATAGTTTGGGCTCTATCTTATATGTCCATAGTAGAACAAGTAATAAATGATTATGGTAGTTTTTCTAAAAGAAAAGGCAAAGAAGAAGATGTAGTATATATACATCATAGAATACTATGCAGCTATAAAAAGACTGAGGTAATGTTTTTTGCAGAGGCATGGATGGAGCTGGAGTCAAACTAACATAGGAACAGAAAACCAAGTACTGTCACTTATAAGTGGGAGCTGAATGACTAGAACACATGCACATAAAGAGGAGAACAACAGATACTGGGTCCTACCTGATGGTGGAGGGTGGGAGGAGGAAGAGAATCAGAAAAAAATAGTAATTGGGTACTAGACCTAGTACCTGGGTGATGAAATAATCTGTACAACAAACTCCATGACACAAATTTACCTATATAACAAACCTGCACATGTACCCCTGAACCTAAGATAAAAGTTGTTTTTTTAAAAAGAAACAAAATATTACCTACACCTCAAAATTACCCATCATGACCCCTTCCAATCATATGCCCCAAAGGTAATGATCTTTTTGTGTTTCATATGCTTTTGAACTTTTCTTAAAGAGAATCACAGAGTATGTACTTTTGTGCCTGGCTTCCTTCACTGAACATTATATTTTTAAGTACCATTCGTATTGTAGTTCATTCTCTTTGCTCTGTAGTGATCAATTGTGTAACTATACCACCAACTGTCGATAGGTTCTGAGTAATTTCCCTGTTTAAGGTATTACAAATAGAATGAATATGAATGTTTTTTAACATGTGAATGAATACTATTTAGCTATGAATACTGCTGTCCTTTTCCATGTGATTTGAGAAAAAAAAATTATTGATAGAGATACAACTCACAATTTATAATATTGTGGTTTAAGGTTTACATGTGATTTAATCTTACTGATTTGTAATTATGATTTTAGAATTTTTATATCTAAAACTCAGAGATGTTGAAAATTGTTTACATCAAATTGGTAAGAAAATTTCTATTGATAGGAACTTTTTCTTTTTCTCACTTTTAAAAAGAATATCCACTTAGGATCCATGAGTAGATATGAAAGGGGAGTCCAATACAGGAAATGTCTTTGCTGCCTGAGCATAAGCTATCTAGGCAAAATAGCACAGCAAGATACAACTTAATGGTGTCATGAAATAATTTAGATTGAACTCCATTATGATTTACTTTATCTAAATATTTTTAACAATTATTTTTCATGTAAAACTGTACATATAGGGCACATTTTACTCCTATCTATTACTATATATTTTTTTGAAAGGTGAAGAAGAAAACATTTTCTCAAAAGAATCATTCAAACTTATGGAAACTCAACAAGAAGAGAAAACAGAGAAGAAAGACAGCAGAAAATTATTTCAGGAAGGTGATAATTGGCTAACAGAAGAGTCACAGAATGAACAGCAAACAAATGTAAAAGATAAACTTTCAATATGATTATGTTAAGGTGAAATATGATACTGTTAGTACTGGTTTTATTACTTTTGCCCAGAACAAGATTTTTAATGTAATAGTATTTTTAAATTGTTTTACTGATATGTGACTATGACTGAAATATTGCTTGGGTTACAAATAATACAGTAACTTGTTCTAATTCTATCATCCTAAAGCAACAAACTGCATTCAGTTTTAAATGAAGATATTTTATTTAGTTTTATATAAAGTACATTATTTTCTATTCTGATATTTTCTTTTGCATATGTGAAGGTATAGAGAATATGTGCATGTTACTAAAAACAATGAAAATAATGTATTTGTAATGGCAATATAGTTTTGTTCTTAAATTTCAAAATTTAGGCTTTTAGGAAAAAGAAACACCTATTTCTTTTGAAAAATTATCCTGGTAATAAATGCCAACATAAGGATATGTTTTTTTTTTTCCTCTTACCCTTTGATACCTGTAACTACTAAAATGAAAATAATAGACTTTGGATTTATATAGTAATTTGGAAATATAATACTTTTATTCATAAAAATAATATAAGAAGATTAATAAGTCTTACAGCCAGGAGTTATGTGTTTGTCTGAAGATAACATTCTAGAAAGAGAAATTAGAAGGGCAGATAAGACTATATTTAAGAATAACCATTATAGAAAATAGTACAGACTTTTTAAAATGTTTAATCCTAAGTGTTCTCATTTTAATGTATATTTCACAGTATTTATAAAAGATACAATAAAGTTGTTTTTCTGTATGTACAGATTGAACAGGAAGTATCACTGGACCTGATTTTAGTAGAAGAGTATGACTCATTAATAGAGAAGATGAGCAACTGGAATTTTCCAATTTTTGAACTTGTAGAAAAGATGGGAGAGAAATCAGGAAGGATTCTCAGTCAGGTTTGCTTTCAAATATCTACTTTGTAACTGTAAATTAAATTTTCTTAAATCTTTATAAAAAGCAAAATCTAATATTATATAATGGTTTAGGCACTAGTTCAACTGACATTGTTCATTAAGTTATTTTTCAGAAAAAATTAAATATATACATAAAACAATTACATATAAGATGTAGATCATACTATTATATATATGACAAGTAGTTTATTTGACCATATTAATGGGATTTAATTTATGCTAAATAAATAATAAAGATTTACATTTTCTTGAATGTTGAGGTTGAAAAGGACATGAAAAATCATCTAGTTCTAACCACTGAAATTTAAGCTTAATTTTTTCCACCTACCCTCCCTATACTTTACTCAAGGTCAGATGGTTCATTTCATGCTAGAACTATGGGAAAATACTTTGATTTTACCACCAAGACTCAGGGTTATACCTGATGGTTCCGCATAACAGCATCAGATTAACCGCCCCAAAATATTACTCTAGTTAATTACTTTAATATCTTATTTATGAAATGCAAAAATATAAGGATAAATTTTGTGAAAGATATATAAGTTCATCTCATTGAAGTCCTTAGGGATAAAAATGTGATAAACATAGTATTGTTTTGACTTTTTTTTAATACCCAGGACTAGATTAGAATAGAATTCACATGACCTTCAGTAAATTAGGAACAAAAAGCTAAGGAAAAGAATGGAAAAATTTAAAAATTGGGACATGATATGTATGGTAAGCCTTCTTTAATTTTCAGGGGCTTTAGGGTGATATCTTCCATTCTGATTTTTTGGAAAGAATTAATTGTAGGCAAGTTTTAAATAAATTATTAACTTAAAGACATATATTAATACATGGTTAACATTCCAAAATACAAATCACGGAAACATTATACTCAGCTACAAATAGAAATTCTGATTTTTAAAGTAAACTTTATTTTAATTGACATTTAGGTTATGTATACCTTATTTCAAGACACTGGTTTATTGGAAATATTTAAAATTCCCACTCAACAATTTATGAACTATTTTCGTGCATTAGAAAATGGCTATCGAGACATTCCTTGTAAGTATTAACATATCTTATTATTTAAGTTCAAATAATATGGGTTTTGAAACTCTTTATCGTCTTTCTCTTCAGATGGTCTCTTAAACACTTTTAAAACTGCATGTTTGAAAAAAAATTTTTTTTTTTTCTTGAGACAGAGTCTTGATCTTGTCGCCCAGGCTGGAGTGCAATGGTGTGATCTTGGCCCACTGCAACTTCCGCCTCCCGGGTTCAAGTGATTCTTCTGTCTCAGCCCTCACAGGTAGCTGGGATTATAGGCACCCACCACCATGCCCAGCTAATTGTTTGTATTTTTAGTAGAGATGGGGTTTCACCATGTTGGCCAGGCTGGTCTTGAACTCCTGATCTCTGGTGATCCACCTGCCTCGGCCTCACAAAGTGCTGGGATTATAGGCGTCAGCTGCCGTGCCTGGCCTGAAAAATTTTTAAATGGAGATTTAAAAAGAAAATTTGTATTGTACTACCTAGATTTAACTGACTACTGTTAACATTTTGTTTGTCTGTTTTTTGTTAACATTTTGGTATATATTCTCCAAGAGTTCTTACATAAATTTATTTTTTGTAAAGGTGGTCATAATATTGATACATATTTATAATCTGCTTTTTTACCTGGTTGTTATATAGTATACATCTTTCTATTTTTAAAATTAATTGCCTGAGTACTTTATCTTTTTAAAAGTTAGTCAAGAGTTTCAGAAAATCATTCACTTAATGTTTAAAATTGATAATCTAATTTCAGTTTTTAACTGTGTTCCAACTTATGGAATAATTTAATGGCTATTGCATATTGTGTTTGAATATAATTTGAGTTCTGTATTAGAAAAAGGTAGGACTGTCTATATATTGTCTACAGTTTCCCTCCATGTGGACACATTTTTGAGAAATTAGTTCTATAAATAGTGAATTATTCTTCAATTGGCATAACTCACTAATACTGTTTAATAATTTAAGGTGAGTTACATATACTATAATTTCCACTTATAAATTGTGCATTCAAAAAAGTGGTTGAATTTTATAAATGGAATATAGGGATGCTTTAAGATGGACTTCAAAGGAAATGGAACGAAAAGAAAGAGGTGGTAAGGAGTCTTCACTGTCAGTTTCAATTAGGATATATTAGTTAAGAAAATAGTCTCTGGACCTAACTTTTCTAAACTTCAAAAATTTGTGAATGAGAATAACAATAGTACCTACTCCATAGGTAGTAATGATATAATTCATGTAAAGCACATATCAGAATTTTTAGTAAATGGTCAGTAAAAGGTGGTGATTTATTAATAATAATTAAGTTCCCAGTGGACGCCATGTCATTTCTATAGGCAAAACAATGTTATATTATCTACTAATGCATACATATACATTAAGTATTTGTTGAAGTGTTAAATTTTCATTGGATATTGATGTTAACTGCAATCATTAGATTCACATAGGTTATCTTATTCAATCTTTTTTGGCAAAGCTGTATTATATACTTTTATAGGTGAGAAGTAAACTCAGAAGGATCTTTCCCAAGATTATAAAACTAGATACCAAAGTACTGTTTCAGTTTCAGGTCTATCTGACTTCTAAAGCCTATACTCTTTACAGTATGCCACATTGCCTTTTCACATAGTTGAATTTCAGTAAATTAATGTTTTATTGATCATATATGATGTGTCAGACACTGTGCTGGATGCTTTCACATATTTAGCATTTAATTCCTATAGCAAGCCTGAGACATAGTATTTCTGACCTTTTTGTTGGGGACAAAAATGTAAGTAACCAGAATTTGTAACTGTTCTGTGTACAAAACTGTTTCGTGTGCAAACATGAGTCTCTGTAATCCAGACACTACATGATATTTTTGAAAGCCACAAAATGGCAACCTTAAGAACATTTTCCAATGCCTTTCAATACTCCTTGGTTATCCTGCCTTTTCTTTGGCACCTTTACTATGTTTTCATAGTATACGGGGAAGTTTTTAAAACAGAATTTTTTTTAAACACATCAAGAGACTTTAGATGAAATACAATTCAAGTGTGGGGAATTATTCTGTCACATCCTTTTTATGAGGATATAGTATGATTAGGAAATTATTGTAGTTTTTAAATGTTGTATGTTAAACCTAACAAAAACATTTTGGTGACTTTAGATCACAATCGTATACATGCCACAGATGTCCTACATGCAGTTTGGTATCTGACAACACGGCCAGTTCCTGGCTTACAGCAGATCCACAATGGTTGTGGAACAGGAAATGAAACAGGTACTTCCTTCTACAAATCTCTGTTAATTATTTGATCAGGAATAGTAAATCAAACTTTCTCATTTCATTACCTCTGTCCTTTTCAATTTTTCGTTAAGTAACCTTTTAGTACATATGAAGGACTATGTAAGTTTTTTAAACCACTTATCCCCAAATTCTACTGTGTAAGTTTTGATGCATAATAATGACATGAAAATTTTTAAACCTGATACCCATCTTATGAGGTAGATTAATATTCAGTACTGCTGGATCTATCATATTTCCTTCTTTGCCCCATTCTTTGGTTTTCCTCACTGAGATAGCCACTATCCTGAATATTATGATAATTAGTCCTTTGTTTTTTAAAAAAAAATTCTTGTTTTTTTTGTCTCAAGTGCATCACATACATTTAAAATATATAACATTCGAAAACCAAAGAAAACATGTTTAAAAGCCTCGCAAAGTATTTTAATGATGACATCAAAAACTTTTATAAACAAATTTTGCTTCCAAAAAAGTTAATGCTATTCCTTATCATAAATATAATAGTTTATATAAATACAGTGAATCATAACATTTATAGTTATCTTATTCTAGCTTATTAAAAGGGCCAGGCATGGTGACTCATGCCTATAATCTCAGCACTTTTACAGGCTTAGGCAAGAGGATCACTTGAGGCCAGGAGTTTGAAACCAGCCTAGGCAACAAAGCAAAACCCCATCTCTACAAAAATAATTTTTAAAAATTTAGCTGGATGTGGTGACACACACCTGTCCTAGCTAATCAGAAGGCTGAGGTGGGAGGATCTTTTGAGCCCAGGAGTTCGAGGCTGCAGTGAGCCATGAACATGCCGCTGCACTGATATATATCAAGACAATTTGCTCAGTTACCAATACTTAAGAAATAATATTACCATGCTAACCAGTGTAAATGTCGTAGACTCAGCCACTGATATTACTTTTTACATTTGGGTAGTTGAGTCTAAAGTATGCATTATTTGTTTAATGGATTTGCTTTATGTCACTGGTTCATTTTTGTCTGCCATCTGTATTTATTCTTTCTAGTTCCCTTCATTCCTTCCAGCAGTCCTGTGCTTTTATTAGAGATAATTTTCTTCAACTTTTTTGTTTTAGATGTAATTTTGTCTTAGAATACTTATATTTTAGCATGTTTTAAGGTATTATTCCATAATCTTGTGACTTTCACAGTTTTTGTTGACAAGTCAAGACTTAGGTCATATTGAGAAATATAATATATAAATATAATATGTTCCTTTTTCTCTTTCCTATTGGTTTTTAACATTTTAACTATGATGTACTCATGTAATTTTTTTTTGTATTAATCCTGCCTGATGTTTAGTGAACTTTTTGAATATGTTGATTGGTGGTTTTTTACTGGTTTCTGTCATGCTTTTCAAAATTCAGCCTCTCCACTGTCCAATTCCAAAGACATTCCCACATTTTTAGGTGTTTGTCACATCAGTACCTCACTTCTAGGTGCCAAAAGTCTGTATTAGTTTGCTATTGCTGCTGTAATAAGCTACCAGAAATTTAGCCTCTGAAAACAACACAAATTTATTCTGACAGTTCTGGAGGTCAGAAGTCCAAAAAAAGGCTTCACTGGAGTAAAATCAAGGTGTCAGCAGAACTATTTTTCTCCTATATGCTCTAGAGGAGAATTTGTTTCCTCGCCTCCTCCAGCTTCCTGAAGCCACTTACACTTCTTGGCTCATGGCCCTTTCTTTCTTTCTTTCTTTCTTTCTTTTGGAAACGGTGACTCGCTCAGTGGCCCAGTCCGGAGTATAGTGGCTCGATCTCAGCTCACTGCAACCTCTGCCTCCTAGGCGGGTTCAAGCAATTCTCCTGCCTCAGTCTCCCAAGCAGCTAGGACTACAGGCGCATGCTGCCATGCCTGGCTAATTTTTTGTATTTTAGTAGAGATGGGGTTTCACCATGTTCCCCAGGTTGGTCTGGAATTCCTGAGTTCAGGCAATCCGCCCACCTCAGCCTCTCAAAGTGTTAGTTTTACAGGCGTGAGCCACTGTGCCCAGCCAGCCCATTCTTTAAAGACAGCAGCATAACATCTTCAAATTTATTTTTGACCCTGACCTTTTGATCTTTCCAAGGAACTAGTGAAAATCGATCCAGCTCTGCAACCTTGGCTTTCTATGCAGAACACACTTAACTGACAGCAACTCTCTTAATTTTAGTCTCTTTTGTAGTCTGCATAGGCTGAGAATTTCCTGAATTATCACGTCCTTATTCCTCTTTGCTTACCAGTTCTCCACCAATCTTTCTTTTTCCTCTCATATTTACTATAAACAGTAAGAAACCAGACTACACCTTCAACGCTTTGCTTGGAAATTTCCTCAACTAAATGTCTTAAGTTTATCATTTGTAAGTTTTGTATTCCACATAACTGCAACACCTAATTCAGACAAATTTTCTGTTACTATATAACAGGGATTCCCTGGCCTCTAGTTTCCAGTGACATGTTCCTCATTTCCTTCTGAGCATTCATTGGCAATGCCCTTAATGACCATTTTTCTATCTCCAGTCTGTTCTCGATGACTTAGGTATAGTATTCTCTAAGACAATATATGTTTTCTCTCTCATGCTGCACACTTCCTTCTGAGTTCTTACTAGCAGTGTTACGAGTTCTCATACATAGTGTTATGGAGTCAAGTATCTGTAGAAGAAAGGAAACCAAGTAGCTTTGGGGAACCAAGCAGCTATTGCAATGGAAAATTATGATGAAAACTAAGACTACAAGGACCATGGGATGTGCTGTCCTATTCTCACTGCACTGGAGAACTAATAGAAAATAAACGACAAGTTTAGGGCTGTAATTAATGGTTGGAGAACCAGATAGCATCTCTGACCTAAAAGAAACCCTTATTTTATTATTTTATTATTATTATTATTATTATTATTTTGAGATGGAGTCTCGCTCTGTCACCCAGGCTGGAGTGTACGGGCGCAATCTCGGCTCACTGCAAGCTCCTCCTCCCGGATTCACACCATTCTCCTGCCTCAGCCTCTTGAGTAGCTGGGACTACAGGTGCCCTGCCACCACGCCTGGCTAATTTTTTGTATTTTTAGTGGAGATGGGGTTTCACCATGTTAGCCAGGATGGTCTCGATCTCCTGACCTCGTGATCCTCCCACCTTGGCCTCCCAAAATGCTGGGATTATAGGCGTGAGCCACCGCGCCCGGCCAAGAAACCCTTATTTTTTATTGTAATAGGATCATAACTTCTGAAAATAAAACCCAATGTCTGATCCTGAAGTTGCTTGAAATACAATGCAAATAAGTTTGTGGCTTCAGTAGACCTCTTATGTTAGAATTAAGATATGAAATGGGAACCACTGCTCAGTGAAATAAAAGAGGACACAAACAAATGGAAGAACATACCATGCTCATGGATAGGAAGAATCAATATCGTGAAAATGGCCATACTGCCCAAAGTTATTTATAGATTCAATGCCATCCCCATCAAGCTACCAATGAGTTTCTTCACAGAATTGGAAAAAACTGCTTTAAAGTTCATATGGAACCAAAAAAGAGCCCGCATTGCCAAGACAATCCTAAGTCAAAAGAACAAAGCTGGAGGCATCACGCTACCTGACTTCAAACTATACTACAAGGCTACAGTAACCAAAACAGCATGGTACTGGTACCAAAACAGAGATATAGACCAATGGAACAGAACAGAGTCCTCAGAGATAATACCACACATCTACAGCCATCTGATCTTTGACAAACCTGAGAGAAACAAGAAATGGGGAAAGGATTCCCTATTTAATAAATGGTGCTGGGAAAATTGGCTAGCCATAAGTAGAAAGCTGAAACTGGATCCTTTCCTTACTCCTTATACGAAAATTAATTCAAGATGGATTAGAGACTTAAATGTTAGACCGAATACCATAAAGACCCTAGAAGAAAACCTAGGTAGTACCATTCAGGACATAGGCATGGGCAAAGACTTCATGTCTAAAACACCAAAAGCAATGGCAACAAAAGCCAAAATTGACAAATGGGATCTCATTAAACTAAAGAGCTTCTGCACAGCAAAAGAAACTACCATCAGAGTGAACAGGCAACCTACAGAATGGGAGAAAATTTTTGCAATCTACTCATCTGACAAAGGGCTAATATCCAGAACCTACAAAGAACTCAAACAAATTTACAAGAAAAAAAACAAAGAACCCCATCAAAAAGTGGGCAAAGGATATGAACAGACATTTCTCAAAAGAAGACATTCCTACAGCCAACAGACATATGAAAAAATGCTCATCATCACTGGCCATCAGAGAAATGCAAATCAAAACCACAATGAGATACCATCTCACACCAGTGAGAATGGCGATCATTAAAAAGTCAGGAAACAACAGGTGCTGGAGAGGATGTGGAGAAATAGGAACACTTTTACACTGTTGGTGGGATTGTAAACTAGTTCAACCATTGTGGAAAACAGTATGGCGATTCCTCAAGGATCTAGAACTAGATGTACCATATGACCCAGCCATGCCATTACTGGGTATATACCCAAAGGATTATAAATCATGCTGCTATAAAGACATATGCACATGTATGTTTATTGCGGCACTATTCACAATAGCAAAGACTTGGAATCAACCCAAATGTCCATCAGTGACAGACTGGATTAAGAAAATGTGGCACATATACACCATGGACTACTATGCAGCCATAAAAAAGGATGAGTTTGTGTCCTTTGTAGGGACATGGATGCAGCTGGAAACCATCATTCTTAGCAAACTATCACAAGAACAGAAAACCAAACACCGCATGTTCTCACTCATAGGTGGGAACTGAACAATGAGATCACTTGGACTCGGGAAGGGGAACATCACACACCGGGGCCTATCAAGGGGGAGGGGAGGGATTGCATTGGGAGTTATACCTGATGTAAATGACGAGTTGATGGGTGCTGACGAGTTGATGGGTGCAGCACACCAACATGGCACAGATATACATATGTAACAAACCTGCACGTTATGC